CCCCACGGCCGGCCACCCGCGCCCACAATGCCCTTCCCCCACGGCCAGCCACCTGCGCCCACAATGCCCTTCCCCCACGGCCAGCCACCCGCGCCCACAATGCCCTTCCCCCACAGCTGGCCACCCACGCCCACAATGCCGTTAATTGTCGCTGTTTGCTACAACAGGCAGGCGAGCATGGGGAAGACTGAGAGAAGACGAGGAGAAAACGGATGACAGCGAATCGGCACAAGCAGGAGCTCACAAGGCCCAGGAGAAAGCAAAGTGTGCGGCCAGTGAACAAGATTCTGTAATTCAGAAACGCAACTCAGTGCCACACATCCTGGCCACCTCCCAAATGAGAAGTTGTCAAATACCCCAAGCCTCTTAGTACAGTTCAATCGCTAAAGAGAAAATAAGAGTTGTCATTTAACTATGAAAGTCTCCTTTGCTTTATCCTACCAATTACCCGCTGCTGCTGAAGCCAGAGCATGCAAACGACCAGACTGGACGGTAGAAGGAGAGACCAGGCCTAAACTTGTCAAAGGAATGCCGCTCCCCCGCCCCCCCCGTGGCCTGTGGACCCGTCTTCCACACGAGGAACGGACAGCCCCGTGCTACGTTAGCTGACCCGGGAAAGTCATGAGGAGCGCCCCGTAGTACCAACCCGGACACACAGCCCGGAGCGACACGGGCCAGGCCAGCCTCTCCAGTGAACACAGATGTCCCGACTTTCAATAAAGTATCTGCAAGCCAATCCAGCTGCATATTAGACAGAGAACATCTACCGGTGCCAGGAACACAGGATGAGCCAATGTTCAGAAACTACAACCACGACCCCCCGTTAGGGCACAGTGTGGAAAACCCTGACAATCAGACACACTTGGAACTCCAACCTTACACACACGCCATGAGCACCACGAGGACCCCGGCCTTACACACACACCAAGGACTCAGCCTTGCACACTCACCACGAGGACCCGGGCCTTACACACTCGCCATGAGGACCCGGTCTTGCACACTCACCATGAGGACCCGCCCGGCCTTGCACACTCACCACGAGGGCCCGGCCTTGCACACTCACCACGAGGACCCAGTCTTGCACACTCACCATGAGGACCCGACCTTGCACACTCACCACGAGGACCCGGTCTTGCACACTCACCACGAGGACCCGGTCTTGCATGCTCACCATAAGGACCCGGCCTTTCACACTCACCATGAGGACCTGGCCTTGCACACTCGCCATGAGGACCCGGGCCTTGCACACTCGCCATGAGGACCTGGCCTTGCACAGCCACAAAGGTAGGCCAGATGGATCCCTGAGCAAACTTACAACCACTGCCCACCTGCCTAACATGCAGTGAAGAATCAGCTACACAGCATGATGCAAAAGTATGAATACATGAGCTATTACTAGAACCAAGTATTTAGTAGTGTAAAAATAATCCTCACTTTGTCCCATTTAAATAAAACACTTATCTGGCTGGGAAGGTGGCTCAGTGGTAGAGCTCTTGCCTTGCATGCATGAGACCCTGGGTTTGATTCCTCAGCACCACATAAGCAAAAAGAAAAAAACCAGAAATGGTGCTGTGACTCAAGTGGTAGAGCGCTCGCCTTGAGCTGAAGAGCTGAGGGACAGTGTCCAGGCCCAGAGTTCAAGCCCCACGACCAACCCCAAAAAAATAACTTGCCAAAATAGCGTATAATTACATCTTTAAAGATATATGTATGTTAGTATTCTAAGAAAAATGCATATGACAAAATCCTGTCAGAAGAATTGGAGGTAACGTTGTTTTACCTTTGTCCTTTCCAGCGTTTTTCCAAAGAACTATTTTTTGTGTGTGTGAAAATACCGTACAGAGGGGTTACAATTACATGGGCAAGATAGTGAGTACATGTCTTATCAAGCCTTGTAGCCTCCTCCTTCGTTTCCCCTTCCCATCCCTTCCCAGCCTCCCCCCAACCCCCCACCCAATCCTCCCCGAAGAACTATTTTTATCGGGACAAAAACCCCACAAAGGTAATTTCAAAAGGGAAGAAAATGTAAAGCTCTTCAATATTGTAAGTGGTTTTTTTTTTTTAATGAAGTATTCTGTGAAAATTAGTTCCAAAGTAAAATGCTATCATTTTATAAATGAAGGCTTGGAGCACAAATGCACTTCTGAGGGTTTGACCACAATAATTTACAGCAAGTCCTGGCTGGAGCCATTCAGTACGGACAAATTCCAGAAAGAAATTGCGTACAACGCTTGGAGAGGAAACCGTTTTATGCTTCCATTGCTATTTATGGAAATTTGCATCTTTGCAAAAACTAAACCTACGGCGATGCTGCTCATAAGCTGCGCAAGGTGCTGTCCAGGAGACGTCCACTAGGCACACCAAGAGCCGTCACGCGGTGGGGGGGGCCTGCCCGACAGCCGGTGGGAGGGCCCTGCTGGTGGGGGGCCCTGCCCCGAGAGCTGGTGGGGGGGCCCTGCCCGACAGCCGGTGAGGGGCCCTGCCCGACAGCCGGTGGGGGGCCTGCCCTGACAGCCGGTGGGGGCCCTGCCCGACAGCCGGTGGGGGCCCTGCCCGACAGCCGGTGAGGGGCCCTGCCCGACAGCCGGTGGGGGCCCTGCCCGACAGCCGGTGGGGGGTCCTGCCCCGACAGCCAGTGGGGGCCCTGCCCGACAGCCGGTGGGGGGTCCTGCCCCGACAGCCGGTGGGGGCCCTGCCCCGACAGC